ACTGTACGTCAGGGCCAGTCAGACTCACTAGATCCTGCTTGGATTTGCTGTTTTCAGGCTGATCAGATACACCGTGAGTTCAGTGACTGGACAGGGCCCAGTGCCCCTGCCTCTGGGGTTCAATGTCTCTCATCACATTTGGACTTTCCCATTGAGAGGGTGCAGTTCCCAAGGTCTGGTTTTCATAGAAGAATCTTCATGCAGCTCTTCAAATATGCTGTTTCCAGTCATCGATATAGTTCCCCATGCATTGGTGAAAGGTATGTCATGTGGGCACTCCCAGATGGGCAATAGGACTCACATTACCAATCAACTCCAACATTACCACCACCATAAACTTTTGAACTGCTTCTTCATAATTTAAAACAAGGGAGAGTGGGCATTTACATGTCACATAGAGTAGCACACCACCTCAGAAGCCAAACTCTCCCCTCACCTTTAGGGACCTGCTGGGATTTGAGTCTAATCAAGGTAGCAACTATAGCAGAAGAGCTCACTGTCTTTGTTACTCTGGTGTGCTTCCTCTTCTGTTCCCTGGCAAATTCTTAATTATTCTACTTTCCTCCTGTGTGGGTTATAACACTGCCATGATCCATTCCAGTTTTTCTCATATCTGGCTTGAAACCTGGGACAAAATTGATCTCTTCATGCTGAATTAGATCTCTTGGATACAAATCAAGTAAACCATCCATGTCCACTGTTCTGGAGCACTCAGAAAACTTTCAGAATGTCTGTGTCATCACCCCAGACATGGAAAGAGAACTCAGAAACCCCACTGGATTGCCACCACAGCCCCCACTCCTCCACTTAGTGTTACATGCCATAGCCCAATATTTACTAAGTGTCTTGAGCAGAATCTGGATTAGAACTTGTTTTTTAACACTGAATGAATGATTTCCTTTTCTTTTTATAGATACAATTCCTCATGAACTGATGCCTAAGGCCCTACAGCGTACCTGCTACTGCCCAGTCCTAACAGAAGCTCACACTGATATTAGTGAGGAAAAGGTAAGTACGGAGAAATGTACTCATATTATTCCAGAAGGAAATAACATTGCTTATCAACATCATACAAATCCATCAGGAGGACAGGCCGTGACGGCTTCAATGTCAACAGGCCACAGGGAGCTTTTCATGAGTGAACAGGTCTAGGTAGAGAAAGGGACTCCTTGTTTGACCGTAGGGTCCAAGGCGTCACCTCATATAACTACTTTGATCAGCCCAGGTTGGATCAGGTATGGCCCACACTCGTTGATGTAGTCTTCTGTGCAGGGCCCTTAATGACTCTGTGAGTGACATCACACCCGGGTCATAATGGACAGCTCAGGTTGCACGGTAACTTGGTGGCCCATGTTTAAGATTTGTTCTTTGTAACCCAGGAAATCCTGTGGGACAAATCTCCGTCCATCCCCAGGGTGATGACAGCCCCTCACCCAGAATGTTTGCCCCTCTGGCTAGGACAACTTTTGACTAATGGGATGGAAGCCACCAGCGATGCCCTGATGGACTCAGCCAGAGGCTGGAGCCATTGCCGCCCACAGGTCCGTGGGGAGCCAGGACACCTATGCAGCTTGGCCCCTAGTTACCTCTTCCCCAGCTCTCAGCAACCCAGGGAACCCTGACGATCAGATTTGCCAGCTTTCTACCACGAACCTTTCCAATTTTTCTCACTCTGGCTTGGAATCATTGACCCAAATATATACTCATGTCCTGAAGCTCTTTGTGCTGAATCTGAGTCTTGGCTATAAGTCATGCAAACAATCCATGTGTGCTGCTGTGGACAACTCAGAAATTTGTCAGATGGTCTATGTCATCACCACAGACATTCACAATGGAAGCCAGGAGAGCCATTGGATTGGCACAGCGGTCCTCACTCCTCCATCTAGTGATGCTCTCACCCAGTATTCATAAACTGCCTTGTTTGGCGGACTCTGTAGTTAGAAATTGGCTTTGTAACTCTTACTTTTCTTCTTTTCATAGACACCAGTCCTCATTAACTGTCTGGTGGCTAACACCCTGCAGCACACCTGCTGCTGACAAGTCCGAACAAGGCTTCATCTCATCCTGAGTGAACCAAAGGTAAGTAAACAAGGATATGCTCATGGGTGGGGAATCCTGAGCACCTGCACTGTGACTCACACACCAGCCTTCCCAAGGTCCCAACCACAGTCCCCATCTGCCGGGGACACTGGTAGGAGCATCACGTCTGCTGCGGTGCATGGAGGGGGACACGCAGCAGCCTGCACCTGTGACAGTGCCTGTCTTTTTCCGGGTTGAACTCAAAAGAAGCAAACTTTCAGGTCACTCCATGGAGTCATATACCCAACTGAGGAGTAATCTGCCTCTAAAATCCAGAGGCTCCCTGGGCGCTGGTTCTCCATCTTGGTAGCAGGGGCCAGATGCCAGCAATCATTGTTTACCTCAGACACCCGCTTGCCCCACAGAAGAGCACTGAACACAAACATATTTCACTGAGTAAGAATTCTGAATTTCAGTCAGATTTCTTCCTCAGCTACTGACTCTAAAAGTGTATCAACTCTAGAGTAGTATTGTCCCACTCACTTGGCCCATTCTGCATAATGTCATCATTGTAACTGACCAGCAAGAAGTATTTCCTGTGGAAGAAAAGGGCAGTGAGGACCTTCAGCCTGTAGAGATGACTCATCCCTGAGGGAAGATAATGAAGGTGTGTGGGGGCCTTGCCACCTGAGAGAAGGCAAATTGGATTGAACTATGGGAACACGAGGAGGAGGCATTTGCCTGCACTGTAGGTGCATATGGAACAAGGTGATGGGGACTTTGAAGTTGCTCAAGCAAAGTAACCACATGGTACAGCAGCAGCATAGGGTCTCCTGTAGTTAAAGAATCGGTGAGTACACTGCCACTTTCCAAGTTGTGTCTTCTCCTCTCTCTCTTTCTTCTCCATCTCCTACTCCTCCTCCTCTTGCTTCTCATCCTTTTCTTTTCTTTTTTTTTTTTAAACATATTCCATTGATTTTTTACAGAGAGAAAGGGAAAGGGATATGGTACAAGGTGATGGGGACTTTGAAGTTGCTCAAGCAAAGTAACCCGCATACTCCCTACTGGGGATGTGCCTGCAACCAAGGTACATGCCCTTGACCGGAATCGAACCTGGGACCCTTGAGTCCGCAGGCCGACGCTCTATCCACTGAGCCAAACCGGTCAGGGCTCATCCTTTTCTTATTCTTTCTATTTCTTCTAAACTTTTTTTCCTCCTCCTCTACTCCTCCATCTTTTCCTCCTCTCTTTCTGGTTCCTGTCCAATCTCCTCCTCCTTCTCTTCCTCCTTCTTTCTCTCAAAACAAACCAAAAGCGTAATGAGGATGTGCCCAAATCCACACTCCTGAATCTTTCAAATCCTTCATGTTGGCACAAATCTCTCATATTCATCAGGCAGATGGTACAGCTTCTAACTTAATACTTGCACAGTTACAGGCAGTTCTTATGGATTGGTTTAGACTTTCTCTCCACAGTTGCCTTGACTCATCGGTGATGAGTGTGTGGGATAATTCCGCTGCTATAGGTATTTCAGTTATGCATTTTACAACCAGGAGCAACCACAGAATGGGTGAGATCAAATTTGGACCTATTTCAAAATGGACCTGAGCAAAAATTCACTGGTCACCTGACCCTTGAAGCTCCTAGTCTTAGTGAGGGCTATAGTATTATTTTGGATTCTGAGACCAATTTCTGTTCATAACCATTTTCCTGTGGTCGCTGAATTATCTAGTTCATTGTTTCCCCCAAAGAGATAGTTACTCAGATAAAACTTTCTGAAAAGGGGCTATCAGCCAATGGGCCAACCAAAGCATTTCTTCTTCTATATTAGAGCAGGAATCAGTGGGCATTTCCATGTTACAATTTTGGGTCCATCTTTGGATGTCTTTTTCAGCCCACCATCTCAATAAACTTTCTACGACTTTGATAATGACCCAAGCTGCAGATATAAATGCACAGTCTCTGTCTTGTTGGCCCAAATTATTAAATTCCTTTTCATCACAATGTATATTTCTTTGAACATTGTCCCTCCACCATTAATTATTTCCGTACATAATCCATGTTTCCCTGCTTCTGTAAATCACAGAATTCACATGGCTCTTGTAAAGGGTAGCACACTTCCTCAAGGGTCGCACTCTGCCCCTCACCTTTAGTGTCCTGTTGGGATTTGTGTCTAGTCGAGGTGGCAGCTGCTGCAGGAGAGCTCACTGCCGTTATCGTCCTTGTGTGTTTCCTCTTGCTCACTGCCGTTATCGTCCTTGTGTGTTTCCTCTTGCACATTTTCCCAGTCCATGAACAATAACTCTACCATGAACCTTCCCAGTTTTCTCACATCTTTGGCTTGGCTGAATCTGGTGTCTTGGATATAAATCAAGGAAAACAACCATGTCTGCTGTTGCGGTTGGATATAAATCAAGGAAAACATCCATGTCTGCTGTTGCGGACCACTCAGACATGTATGTCATCACCAGAGATATGGAAACTACAAACTAAAAACACATTGGATAGCGATCCTCACTCCTCTGTTTAGTGATGCTGTAGCCCAATATTTAGAGATTGTCTTGAATGGACTCTGGAATAGAACTTGGTGTTTGTTTTCTCTTAATGATTGTCTTTTATTTTCCTAGCCATCTTCCTCAATAACTGTCTGATGGCTGACGCCCTAAGCACACCTGCTACTGCTCAATCTTAACAGAGGCTTTCCATGATCCTTAATGAACAGAGGCAAGTAAACAAAACTATGCTGGCATTATTCGAAAACAGAGGAATGTCTCTTACTTTCAAAAACAAGAGGAAGACTGACAAAGATTCTTTTAAAATTATCCCATTATTAAATATTGGGAGATCATGTAGTTAATGACATTATATTAACTTGTACAACTTAATACAGCACCAGGCTGGCCTGTTTGTGCTCAACACTCACAGGATGGCATCCTTGTATTGGAACTCCTTTGCCATCGTATCCTCACTGATGGCATCCTTGTATTGGAACTCCTTTGCCATCGTATCCTCACTCATGCTTTTTCCCCTACGGTGACCGCCATGGAAAAAGTCTGCAGGTAGGAGATCTTCAAGGTGAATGAGGAGGTGAACGGCCCAATCTCTGCCCATCGTGATGGGTTCATTACCCACTGTCCTTCACAAACATCCCGAATGGTCCTTTGTAGCGCAGCCGTCCAGTTTCCTGTTGGATATTGACATCATGCAGAGTCACCGGTAAGCCAGGCCACGACTTTGCTTCCTCTGTCAGCAGGTCATAGGGAGCCTTCCATGCGCCCACAAGTCTAGGCTGAAAGAGGGATTGGTTGTCTGGCAGGAGGGCCAGCTCTTATCTCTCGGCTCTGATCCTCCGAGATCCCGTCATGTGTGAACCATTTCACCTTCATGTGGTCTCCTGTGTGTGGCCTCTTTAGGCTCCGTGAGTGACCTCTCACCCAGGTCACAGTGGACAGCTGGTTGCCTGGTAACAGTGGCCCATGGTTAAGCACTACTTTTCTGAAACCCAGAGAGCCCTTTGTGGATAAGTCACAGGCCATCCTCAGCGTGAGGACAGCCCCTTACCCTCACTATCTGCCCCTCAAGGCTAGGACTGCTTAGGCCTAAGGAGGGGACGCAAGCCACCACTGCTGCCCAAGTGGACCTCAGCCAGAGACTGGAAATCTGGCCCCTCCAGTCCACTAGGGAGCCGGGGTCCCTATGGGGCTTGTCCTCTAGGGTAGCTTCTTCACGTTCTCGAATGTTCTAAGAGAGGCCCCAGGGCCAAGGGTGCTGGGGCCCTGTGCCTGGCTAGGACTTTCGGAGAGAAAGGCCAGGGAGTGATATCAGGGCAGAGCCTCACTGAGAGAGAGGCCAGGGCCTAGGGCTTGCTCTCCCTGAGCAAGGCGCAGCCCTTTGGTGATGGGCCCCGCTATGTGGGGCCAGGCGGGCTCTCTGTGCGGGAGCTTCGGCTCTGGGTGCTGACCCTAGGCCGGACTCTGAGGCTAGCATCGTCTTTCACCGTGTCACGCTGACATTGACAAGTCACAGGCATTGTTTTTTTTCTTCTTTGAATGCTAATTGTCTCTGTATTTCCTTTCAGTTTCACCATAATCTTTGCCTCTAGGTACATATCAACACAGCAGATTTCTTTTTAAAACCTAGTATTGAAGATTGAATATCTTTCCCCATTGTAACCTTACATCACTCTCCCAAGGACAAATATGAAAACTCAAGGTATCTGAGGCCCGGACACACCTCCATGACTAGCCGGCTGCCTCGGAGCTGGGGACTCCATGCTTCCTGCCATCAGCAGATCCAGCCCCAGAAACAGACGAGTTTACAATCATCTCTGAAAACTGCCACGAATGGGTGTCCTGTTCTAAGCCGGGTCACCCAGGAAGGACGGGGGTAAGAGGGACATTTTGCTCCAGAAACAGAATGTCCAAAAAGGCCCAGTCCATTATTTTCCCCAGAAACGGCTGGAGGAGAGTAAAATCCCAACATGAGCCTCGAAGGCCTCTGTGCCCAGGGGATGGCATTGCCGGCTGAGGAGGGGCAGCAGGGGACACGGGCAGTTTCTCCACAGGCCGCAGCGGGAAGCTGGGCAGGAGCCTGGCGGGCCCCGGGTTCTCTAAGAGGTTCTTCTAGAAACAGACCCCTCAGATGCTTCCTCTCACTTCAGGTAAGAAGTTACTGTTAAGGCACTTGGAGAGTTTCCCTTCCAGCTTCAGAAAGGAGGCGCAGATATGTGAGTCATCAGTGCAGCCCCCCCCCCCCTTCAGGCCTTAGTGGGCGACTCTGTAGAAGTGGACAAAGGCTGCTGCCACCACCATGACACTAATTACCCGATGTGACTGGTTCCATGTGTCAACTTAATAGGACCGAGTGCTCTGTAACTGGAGCAGCCTGGAGGCCAGCTCTGGGGCTGCACAGCCCAGCCATGAGGAAAAGCCGGCCCAGCTGCCCGCGTGTGGCCTTGACACAGCCCCTGGTGAGAGTCAAGGGCGTGGTGGACACAACACTGCTCCAACCAGGGCCCAGGGACACCCCTGACCTTGTCCGCAGGTGTTTAGCGGGGACCCACTGTGCCACAATGGTGGCGGGATGCCCAGGACACAGATGATGGAGTGGTACATGAGCCAGGGCTGTGGGGCAGGGGTAATGGAACCAGGGCGCCAAGCTCCGTAATGTAGAGCAAGCCCCGCCTAATGCAGTTTGCAAACTGCCCGAGAGGCTTTCTGGGAAGAACTGTAGGTGGCGGGAAAGGGCCAGGAGGAGCTGAGGCAGAGCTCTGCGCCCAGGAACACCCCCAGCCCACCTGCCCCCAGCAGGGGCCGGAAGTACCTTTGGTCTGAGCAAGGTCAAGGTTCACAGAAAGAGAAACAGCAAAAAGAACCAGTAAGCAGAACCGTGCAGTGAAGGCTCTCCTTTCTGTGCGGGTGCAGACGCTGCTGGAAGCAGCCTGTGCGAGGGCCTGGCCCGTGCCCTGCAGCAGGAAGCTGTCCTGCAGCCGGTCAGGGAGCACAGCCGGAGGGCAGGCCCCGCACCGCCCCTGCCCCTGGCACACTGCGCATGCATCTCTTCAGCTGTGGTTGGCTCAGCGATTCCCCAGGAGCAGTTCTCCCGCAGGTGCTCCAGCTCAGCCCGGTCACCCTGTCCGATTCCCTGTTACTGGCAAGAGCCCGGTTGTACTCGGCCACCACTGGTCCCTTCTTAGCAGAGATCTAGCTGGTACCTCAATGCCCTGCACCTCCAGCAGGGGGACAGCCTGGGTGTGTCACCCCAGGGAGCAGAGACCTCCCTGGGAGGTTAGGCAAGCCGGCAACGGCCTGAGCTGGGGCCCACCACCCTCGCACTACACCCCCCAGCGGGCCAGGTGGCCTGCAGCTGAGCCTCCTGGTCTTCATGCTCCACCAGGCACCGTTCTGATGGCAACTGGCAGTGAGTCTCAAGGCTCAGAGCACAGGACTGGCATGCAGAGAGCAGACACTCATCCCAAGATCCCACTGCTGAGTTCCATCCGGAGCCTGTCAGAGAGCAGCCGCTGCCGTAGCCGGGCCTCATCTGAGTGTGCGCCAGCTTCACGCAGAGCACAAGGCATGTCTCCAGGTGTCGCAGAGCGTTCCCCTAACCGGGAATGGCCTTCAGCGTGGAAAAGACGGTCTTTAGTGAAAGAGACCTCTCCAGAGACCTCAGCCAGACATGCAAAGACTATCGAGTTATTCCAGGATCCAAGATCACATCTGCAGACTTTGTAACAGCCAGAGTCAATGGCTTAAGGTGTGTATTTAAACTCCAATCTCTTCTCTTAGACTCAGCGTCATAGACAATATGTGAGCAAATAGGTGTGGCTGTATTCCCATAAAGCAGTATTTGTAGACACCAGAGTGTGCGTTTCACATCATTGACATGCTTTGGGCTGCGGGGCATTGTTTGGGCTCCAAGACAGAGGCCCAGGCTGCCTGGGTCCTGGGCCGCCATTGAACTCTCTGAGAGAGAGGACCAGGGCCCGCTGGGGGCCTCACTAGGCGTCTCTGAACGAGGAGCTGGGCTCCTCAATGCTGCCCTCTGCTCTTTGGGGCTGGGGAAGGCTCTACGGGGCTAGGTTTTGCCCTCTGAGGCCCCAAGGATTAGCTCAGTGGCTTTGGGGCTGGGCGGGGCTCCCAGGTGATGTCATGCTGCACATCGACACGTCCCAGGCTTTGTTTGTGTGTTCGCATTGGCAACTTACAATTAGTTACACTGAGCACCAGGCTGGCCTGCAGGGAGCACACTCATTGCAGCCCACCCACTGCAGCCGAGTTCCATCATGAGCCTGTGCGGAGAGCAGCAAAGGCCGTGGACTGGTTTCATTGGAGTGTATCCCAACCTCACACAGAAGCATAAAAGCATTTACAGATGGTCCAGTGTTCCTGTTATCTGGGAAGTCTCAATATTGCCTAACTAACTTGGAAAAGATTGTCCTTAGGGAAATTGACCTCCAAAACTCTTAACCTGCTCGGCAAAGACTAGAAATGAGTCGAAGCCCTAGTTGGTTTGGCTCAATTCATAGAGCATTGGCCTGCGGATGGAGGGGTCCTGGGTTTGATTCTGGTCAAGGTCACAGGCTGGGTTGTGGGCTCAATCCCCAGTAGGGGGCATGCAGGAGACAGCCGATCCATGATTCTCTCTCATCATTGATGTTTCTATCTCTCCCTTTCCCTTCCTTTCTAAAATCAATGAAAATGTACTTTTTTTTAAAAGAAAATGGAGTCCAAGACCCTAGAGCAGAGGTCTGCAAGCTGTTTCTGTAACAGCCAGAGATTCGATGGCTGTTGGTCTCTGCAGAAACTCCAAGCCTCTCCTCATAGTTTGACAGCAGCCATAGACGCTGTGTAAGCAAATAGCTGTGGTTCTATTTAATAGAATCTATTAGAATGAATCTTTTCTGTGGAAAATTGAGTGTATCTTTCATAAATTGACCTGTAGTAGGCAACAAGACATCCCTGAGAACCTGAGAGAAATAAGCACAGGGCCTAGGCTGCTGGGCCCTGGGACTCACGGGGACATTTCTGCTTCACTAGATGGAGCAACAATGCCGTGAGCTTCCTCTCCCCACCGCTAGGAACACATGACTCTTTAGCCAACACTGTACATCAGTGCCGACAGACTCACTAGATCCTGCTTGGATTGCTGTATTTCAGGCTGATCAGATCCACCGAGAGTTCAGTGACTGGACAGGGCCCAGTGCCCCTGCCTCTGGGGTTCAATGTCTCTCGTCACATTTGGACTTTCCCATTGAGAGGGTGCAGTTCCCAAGGTCTGGTTTTCATAGAAGAGTCTTCATGCAGCTCTTCAAATATGCTGTTTCCAGTCATCAATATAGTTCCCCATGCATTGGTGAAAGGTATGCCATGTGGGCACTCCCACGTGCCATAGGGCTCAAATAACCAATACACTCCAACAGTCCCTCTCCCTACACTGCTGAACTGCTTCTTTACTGAAAAGAGACAGTGGGCACTTCCATGCCGCCCCCTTGGGCCATCCTTGGATGCAGTTGTCTGCCAACCATCCCAATCAACTTGTGGGCCTTGTAAAATGACCCACACTGCAGATGTAAATGCAGGCTCTTCCTGTGGGCCCAAATTAATAGGTGCCTTCATGTCCAAACTTATGTTTCCTTGAACATGTCCTCGACCGTTAATTATTTCCACACAGATTGCATACTTTTCTGCCTGGGTAAGTTTCAGCACTCACATAATTCTTCCATAGAGTAGCACCCCACCTCAAGGTCAAACCTTCCCTTCACCTCAGTTCCCTGCTGGGGTTTGAGTCTAGTCAAGGTGGCCGCTGCCACAGGAGAGGTCGCTGCCTTCATTACTCTTGGTGTTTCCTCTTGCACACTTTTCCAGTCTCTGACAAACCCTGAATTATCCCAGTTTCATCCCATACCGGTTACAGCCCTCCCATGATCCATCCCGTTTTTCCTCGCATATGGCTTGAAGCCATTGTGAGATATACCTATTCATGTCCTGAATCTCTCCAAGCTGAAGGTGTGCTAGCTATAAACCAGGGAACCATCCCGTCGGCTGTTGCGGATTTAAGCATTTTCAGAACGTCTATGTCATCCCCTCAGGAAACTTTCCGATTTTCTCCACATCTGGCTGGAAGCATAGAAGTAAACTATTGGTGCTCTGAAGCTCCTCAGGCAGCATCGGGAGCCCTGGACATGAACTCAGCAGGCGATAAAGTGATGAGAGGGAGCATGTTCGTGTGTGCTGCTGGGGGCCACTCAGAGCTGTTTCAGATTGCGTGTCATACCAGAGACACGGGAACTGGATGCAGGAACCCCGCTGGTTCCCACCGCAGTCCTCACGCCTCCGTCCAGGGACGCTATAGCCCAGTGTCTAGCTCTTGCCTTGCTTGGCAGGGCCCAGGAATAAAAACCGGGTTTTGTAACACTTAACCATTGACTTCCTTTCCTTTTCAAGACTCCATTGCTCACTAATTGTCTGAGGGTTAATGCTCTCAGACAATTGCTACTGCCCAGCCGCAACAGATTATTCGCCTGGTTTTTATTGAACAAATGATAGGTAAACAAATACATGTTCTTATTATTCAAACACAGAAAAGCATCTCTTCATTTCTTGAACATTAAATACTTAAAAAGGATTTCATGATTACTGTTTTGGGGGTAATTAGTTAATCACATTAAAAACCTTCACTTGTACAACTTCATGGTACAACATAGCACACTCAGCTGTGTGCTCGCCACCAATGTCTGTCTCTCTGCCCTCTTGCCTTTGAGCCCCCATTATTCACCTGGCCCTCACTCCTGCTTCCCCTGCGGTAAACACATGATTCCATGTGTGTATAGGAGACTTTGTTTGTTTCTTTTGTTTGTGCTTTCACATCCCACTGCCGAGGGAAAATATAGAACGTGCCACTTTATCCTTTTGACTAATGAAATCTCTCACTTTGAGGCTTCACTCTGGTGAGCATTACATGAGACGCAAACATCTTTGAATATTTGTGACCACTGAGCGAGAACGTCCAACGAACGTCTGCCCAGAGAGCTTGTGAGGGATCTCCTAGTCAGGCTTCCTCAGTGCCTCTGCCTGATGCTTCAAATCCGAGGCAGAGCCCTGAGTCAGCATCTCCTCCCACAGCTGGGCATTGTCAGCCACGCACAGTGAGTGAGGAGGCGCCGCCCCACCTCTGCCCATTGTGAGGGTTTTGTGACCCACTGTCCTTCACAGACGTCCAGAAATGGGCTGTCGTGCTGCAGCGGCCCCTCTCTGGTTGGCCCTCGATACCATGAAAATCATCGGGGAGCCAGGCCACAGCTTTCCTTCCTCTGTCAATAGGTCATAGAACACTTTCCAGGAGTCCACGGGTCTAGGCAGAAAGATGGATTCATTGTACAGAAGTTGGTACTGAGGTAAATTGGGACACAGACTATCTTCCTGCTTTGGTCCTCCCGGGTTGGATCATGTATGTAGCACTTTAAATTGAAGTTGTAGAGTTCCCAGTCTTTCTATTCCTTCTCCTCCTTCTTCTACTTCTCCCTCTCCTATTCCCTCCTCCTCCTCCCGTTTCTCCTCCTTTTTCACAAGTCAAATCAGATGGTCAGTGAGGATGTGTTCCAATGGACACAATCCTGCATATTCACATCCTTCCCGAGGCACAAATCTCTGCCCTTCATCCAGGAATGTGGGAGGCTTTGGGTTTCCTTCTTATCCTCTTACAGGCAGTTCTAGAGGCTTCTGCTTTGACTTTCTCACCCTAGTAGCCCCCACTTGGCAGTGATGAGTGTGGGGCTCATTCTGCTGCTTTGTCTATTTCGGTTATGCCTCCTGGGACCAGAGGAACCAAGGGTCGTCCCAACATATGTCCCCTACTTCAAAATGGACCTGAGCTGAAACTCATTGGTCACCTGACTCTTAAAACTCCTAGATTTAGTGCAGGGCCACAGTTATATTTTGGTTTCTGAGACTAATTTCTGTTCAGATCCATTGTCTTTGAATTATCTCGTTCATTGTTTCTTCCATATAGATAGTTGCCCTGGCTAAAAATAAAGAAATAAAAAGGCCTTCAGTCCACTGGGGAGGCATGAAGTAAGCTTTAGAGTACACACTTTTTGTTGTCTGTTAGGGGTCTTTTCTCAGGACATTCTGGTCTCTCCTCCCTTTACGAATTAAGCTGTGTAAACTGGCTCGGCCAGGGGTCGGTTAATGTGCTGAGCGAATGTTTTTATGGTTCCAGTGACACCATTGTTCACTTCACCTAGGACAGTTCTGCTTCGATAGAGCCAGAGAAGAGTGATTTAGGGACGATGAAAGAAAGCAAGAAAGATAGAGGAAAGGAAAGAAGGAAAAACTCAAGAAGAAAGAAAAACAAAACAAAAAAACACACAAACAAAACCAAA